TGTAGGGGTGCTTATTACCTGGCTTAAGAAGTTGTCCTCAATGCATTCTAGGAACCTGCTGGATTGCCTACAGCTTGCCGTGTTGCTTTTCAACAACTGTTGAAACTGTTGAACTTTTTCAACCGCTGTTCAGTTCCCAGTGAAGTACCTCTTCTCCACAGCTATATTATTTCCATTAATATTCTTTGAAACCATTGCAAGAAACTTGATTCTGTATCAATTTTCAAGATATCTCTCAGAAAACAACCAAGTCACTAAGCCATAGAAACACTTGCCATAGAAGCAGCGCACCTTTCTCCATAGCCAGCTGGAAGGAGTCTTGAAGTGTGGACACAACATTTTTCCCAGAGGAGGGATCCATAGTCAAAGAACAACCAGCACATCAAAGGAGAATGCTAGGCTGGCAAGAAAAACACTTAAGATGGAAAAGACACTTATTAAAAAAGAATTCCAGGAATCTAGGAGAGAAGAGGTGTCACTGCCAGAGTAACTATCAGTTAAGCCCCTTGTGGTTCCTCATAAAAAGCCATTTGTTGAAATGAGTGAATCACTACTGGATTGCATTATTAAAGAACCTCCTCAAAAGATGTGTCTTATTTTCTCACTCAACCCCGTGGCTCTCTATTCAATATATATCCAGGTTTTCTGGAGAGGATAATTTGAACCTGGCTAGCAAAACTCCCAGTGCAGAAGTAGTTGTGGTAAAGTTTCATGCTGCTTGAATGGAGGCTTAAATGATGATAATACCTTTCTCAGGTAAATCTAGTAGTAGTGCTTTAAACAACATGCATATTGCAGTATTTTACATGAGACTGCTAGGCCTCCCAGATGTATAAAAGTGTTAAGAATATCAAATGCAGGTGCTGGAGTTGCACCTTGTATCAACAGAGCTCTGAACGTAAAGGGCAGTGCACTTTCATTGAAGTTCCCATTCAGATTACAAATTATTAGAAGTTTAAATTTTAATTAATTTTTAAATTAAATTGTTTAATTATAATTGTTACAAATTATGAATGATGACAGGTTACAAATTACACTCTTTTGGTAGGCAGCCACTGGACAACAGATAGACCCTCCAAAAAACTGGACAGAGCAGCAACAGTATATCATCTGATTCTTTGCATGAGAACATAGCGTATATACCAGGTCTGATACAGGCAAACAGAGAAGTGAAAAGACGTATAAAGAACAGTGTACTACAGTACAACAAAATCACAGAATCACAGAATGTTCAGGGTTGGAAGGGACCTCTGTGGGTCATCTAGTCCAACCCCCCTGCTGAAGCAGGGTCACCTAAAGCAGCCTGTAGAGGACCTTGTCCAGCTGGCCCCATCCGCCTGACACCCACCCTTAAGATATTTATAAGCATTTATTAGGTCCCCTCGCAGCCTTCTCTTCTTCAGGCTGAACAAGCCCAGCTCCCTCAGCCTTTCCTCATAGGAGAGACGCTCCAGTTCCCTCATCATCCTCGTAGCCCTCCGCTGGACTCTCTCCAGTAGCTCCTCAATTTTCTTGAACTGGGGAGCACAGAACTGGACGCAGTACTCCAGATGGGGCCTCACTAGGGCAGTGTAGAGGGGAAGGAGAACCTCCCTCGACCTGCTGGCCACACTCCTCTTAATGCATCCCAGGATCCCATTGGCCTTCTTGGCAGCCAGGGCATACTGCTGGCTCATGGTTAACCAGCACTCCCAGGTCCCTCTCCACAGAGCTGCAATCCAGCAGGTCCGCCCCAAGCCTGTACTGATGCATGGGGTTGTTCCTCCCCAGATACAGGACCCTTCACTTGCCCTTGTTGAAGTTGAGGAAGTACTGAGAGTTCCCACCAGAATCCGAGATGCATTTTCCTATTTATAGGGTTTTTTTCAGTTACAGAGAGTGTAAGAAAAAAATTAAAACCAAACATTTAAAAATGATGCCTGAAACTCTACTCCTGTTTATTCCTACTTTTATTATGGTATCTAGGAAATTCAGTAAAAAGATTCTATGGCCTATTATGTAAGGTACTATAGGATATTCTGACTGTCCCACTCCTTTCAACAGACTAATTCAGCAGCATTTCAAGCATATACTTTTGCCTTCTACCTGTCTTCAGTGAGTAAAATCTCCCTTTTATCAGTCTTCTCAAAATTCAGTAAATCTCCAATGTACAGAGTATTGGAAGACTTATATTTCTTACTGCTTTAATGTAAACATTTCCTTTTCTCCATTTTCTACAATGAGGTTGTTTGGCCAAGTTTAATTTCGATTTCTCAGGTTTTTAAATTCTCACTTTAAGGTCAAAGATTACTGTAAGTTAGGCCAATTACACTCTTTAGACTTTTCTCTCCATCGGAGCTTGATGCAAGTGCAAGGAATGTAGGCATTGTAGAAGGGTGGGCTCCTTCAGTTTCATCATTTCATAACGTTGGCCCACACTGACTTATCTTCACAGATGGAAAATTTCCACCGAAGTTAGTGAAAAAACAGTTTGCATAAATTGAACAGAGGGTGTCACCTCTTGTTTTGCAACAGAAGAATGATACAACTCTACTAGTACTGTAACAGTATGGGTGAAGCTTACTCAAATTTATCCTCAGTTGCCCTTCCACCTTCTTTGAACAGATTACTGTCATGCCATGTGACCTCTCATTTTTCTAATTAGTTAATGACAGAATGTGGTTGTGTTCCTCGGAAATGCCGAAAGTTGACAAGGACTTTTACTCCAGCATTCTGAGATATCACTTGCTCCCAAGGAATATAAGCCAGGGGATACAAGCAATAAAGGGATTCTGTCCACCCATAGAACAGGGAGCCCCTGTCCAAGTCCTTATGCCAGCACCTTCAGACGTGTGTGGAACAAAATACTCCAATTACCATTTGGAAAAATTACCATTTTGGGAGATAATTACAATATATAGTTGGGTCATCAAGAAGCTAGAGCAGGCTCAGCAAGAACAAACCCAAATCACGGATCTTCGGTGTGATTACATGGTTTTGGAGAAGGTTAAAGAGACAGGAAAACTACTGCTTAACAAAGGGAATTCAGGTCTAGACAATGTGACTAGGAGGATGAAGTGGAATCAGAAGAAGCAGCCAACACAGATCATTGATTCTTACTATGAAACCATTTCTCTGAAGACTAAAGAGTTAAAAACAAAAACTACCCAGCAACAGCATTTGGAAAAAACTGTAAAAAAGCTAAAGAAGTATACTGAAGATTGAAGTGAAACAAAAGGCGAATTCACAAAGGAGAAAAATGAGGCTAGGAGTTCACTGATAATCATGCAGGAAACTTTACTGAGTGCTATAAAATGTCTTGAGGATGCTGGGACTGGAAAGAAAGCCCTTCTGAAGCACACGGAAGAACTTTAATCTGCATATTATCTCCTTCAAATAAAGCATGAGGCAGAACAGAAGACCAGGTTTAGGAGACCGCGCTTGGAGATGGATCACACAAAGAAAGACAAAAAGATACAGGAAGTGCAGCATCTCAGAAAAAAGCAGAAACATGAGGCCAAGACTGTAGCTTCAGCCCTGCATGTGCTAAGGGAGGAAAAGAATACACAGAAATGGCACCTATACTTGCAAATAAAAGTCCAGGGAGAAAAGGATGGCAGGCTAGCAGAAAGTCTACAGCTGCGATCCAGATATAACAAGCTGGCTACTCAGCTTAAAATCCTGCCAGCAGAATCTGAAAATGAACAAGCTGAGCTGAAGAAAATGCAACAGCAGATTTGTGAGTTCAGAAGAGAGAACGAAAAGCTGCAGCAACGGAGGGTGAAATATCAAGAACAAAACCACATCCTGCAAATTGAAACTGCCAGGCGGAAAAAGAGATATGATAAAGTCAGAGGATCACAGACAGCTAAGGTATAATTCAGGCTGATGCAAAAATCTAAGCAGCGTAAATACCTATAACGCATAGTTTCTAGTTGCCATGTGGAGCAGTTCTCCCTCCCTTCTTGGGACAAACTTCCACTGACTCAAGCTGAGGGTTCTGACCAAGAAGTTGAGAATCAGGGAAGTGTATGAAACTTGCATTTCTCTTCAGGAACATTAAAGTTAAGATGGCACTCCTTCTTTTAAGTCCTTTACTGCACTTGAGTCCCCGTGTGGAATTTTGTCTTACACAGATATTTATGCAATCATCTAATTTCAAGTAGTGATCAAACACTTTGCAATTTATTGAAATAAATGAGGGGATAAAAGGTTATGATACTGGCCTTTTCTTCATTTCTTTGAGGGCAAAAGGAATGAAAGGATTGGAATGTAAATGTTCCAAAGTTTGACACCTTATGTCTTTCCTCAACTTTGCAGAAGTTTCTAGATACAGTTTTCACAGAATCACAGTTTGGGTTGGAAGGGACCTGTAAAGATCATCTAGTTTTGTCTGTATCTTCCCCCAAGTTGTGGAGCTTCAAGACTGGACACAGTATTCTAGATAAACTTTAACACTGATTAGAGGGGTAACAGTCACTTCCCTTGATCTGTTGGCTGTGCTTCTCTCAAATAGCCCAGGATGCTCTTGGCCTTTCTCACTGCCAGGGTACACTGCTGGCTCACAACAGCTCAGTGTGTACGAGGACACCCACCCCCCCCAGGTCCTTCTCAGCAGAAGCTTCTCCCCAGCCAGTCCGTCAGTCCCCAGCCTGTTCTGCTGACAGGGCTGTTCATTTCCTGGTGCAGGACTCTGCTGAATTTCTCCTAAGGTTCCTCTTGGCTCATTCCCTCTGGGTGGCAGCCCTGCACTCTAACATATCTGCTATGCCCCCACCCCACCACCCGATTTGGCACCATCTGCAAACCCTACAAGCACTTTTGCTCCCTTCCGTATTGATAAAAATATTAAATTGGACAGGTCCTGGGACAGACCTCTACAGTATTCCCCTGGTTACTGGCATCCAGGTACAACACGAGGCTCCTGAGAGCAAGCAGATGACTGCTGAGCTGATAATGACTGTTGTCTAGATGACAGAGGTTAGCTACAACTGATTAACAAACCCCCATGCCCTCTCCTAGTCTCCATTAAAGACTGGGGGGCAGGGGTCACTTCGGATGCAGGAGCCTGTAGAGCTGGGATCTACTTTTGTAGCCTGGCTGCAAGGATCAGGAGATTTACCAGGAGCTATCAGGAAACCCTGAGGGCAAGGTCTCATAGTACTCAGTTCAGGGCTCAAGAAAGCCCAAGCTAACTGTCAGCGAGCATGCAGCAGGAACAGGGCTGATCCACAAGTGAAGAGAGGCCAGAAGCTGAGGGTGACCTCGGCACGGCAGTGTCCCACCAACCGTGGCACAGAACCACAGTACCTGAGTGAGGTGGTGACAGGAACGGGTTCTGTCAGGAGTCGCAGTGACTGAAAGATCTCAGGCTCTGAAAAGTCAGCACCTCCTCCAGCTGATGATCCTGGTATCGTTGTTTCATAATGTCTGATAACAGTCCTGGTGCATCTGACAAAGGTTAGATATGTTATTTTACCACTTTATTTATTAGACCATTTATTGATGTGATACACTAGATTTTTATATAAATTGTGCAAAATAGAGAGCCATGACAAAATAAAAACCAGAATGAAATGCAACATGGTTGGGTTCAGTTGCCAAACTGGATAGGTAATAAAAAAGTACTTGATTCTTATAGGTAAAAGAAACCTTTTTTTTTCTCCTTGTTGAAATAGCTTTGCTCCTTCTTCACCAAGCAGGGGAAGTAAACAGTGTTCAGACCAGGGACGCATTGCAAATTTGAATGTACCAATAACAGTACCCCAAGCCATCCAACAAAGAAAACAGATCTGCTTTGTTCATTTCCCATAGCATAAAGTGTAACGTCTAGAAATTAACTGAATTTTCAGTTTCCCTTTTTTTAACATTGACAACTCTAACATAGCCATAGGTGGCTTTCTTATTTATTGATTACTCCCTATGTAACTATGCATACATTTTCTCTTATTGGTTATTTCCCTATTCACCAGACTTCAGGCTTAGAGTATAATTTTTCTTTCACCATACATGACAAATGACACTGGCCTGCTCTCAGATTCTTTTCCCTTACTAACATTACTAAACACATCTTATTAGAAGCTCAGAAGGTCTCAAACATACACACCATGTTAGGTTTCATAATACATACTCAAAAAGCAAATTTATGAAATAAACACAATCTTAATTACTTATCAGTACCTTATGTTCTCAGGATCTTAAGAAGACTGGAACGTTCCAGTCTCTCCTAGTAATTCTCTTTGCCATTTGTCATAGCTGGTTTTGGTCAGTTAACTCTAAGGAAAGGCAGTGATGAACTCTGTGCTAAATTTTGGTTCTCCGTCGGTTCAAACACTGTTAATATTCCTCCAGTGTTACACTCACTAGGACATAGATCATCCTTCTACCACTGAACATTAACAGCTAGAATGAAACTATTCTTGAACTGCAAGAAAAAGGGAAGAACCTTACCCTTGAAAAGAAAACCTTGGAGACAAAAGTAGATCTTTTCTGAATGCTTGAGGAAAGTTCAAATGGGTCTGTCCAGCTGATTAAGGAAAGTTCTCTAGTACAAGAACATAGAAATCTTAGTAACCCTTTTTACTGGACCAATTATGAAAGCTATTTAATTCACAGTGCTTTGATCACACTTTCCATGTGCCTCCCAGTAAAGGAAGTTTACTCTTCAAATTACTGCTTATTTGATTTTGATTATGTCCAGTAAACATATAATTATGCTCAGTATTACACATAGTATCATATTAGTTTTCTATCATTATAGTGCCTATTGAGATTTAATTACCAGATTTCCAGTCACTTTGGAAATGACTCAGGAAAAAAAGCACCCTTCACCTATGACACTAGGTGTTATGTCTATTAAATCAGTCACTTTTAAAACAAACCTGAAGGTTTCCATTAGGGCATAAGCCAAAACCAGTCATATTATTTGCACTATTTAGTCAGTAACATACACTTAATTGGGAAGATCACAGAGTCCAGAAATGGTTTCAGTGTTCTAATGAATGAGAAGCACATGCCTGAGGATGGACAGTACTCTATGTGCAGTATCATAGAATGTACATGTTATTATATATTAGGCAGTTGTACTAGATGATCACTGTAGGTCCCTTCCAACTGAAGTAGTCTATTATATTCTACCAATCCTTTAGGAGATACTTCCACCACAGAAAGCAATTACGTGAACTGAACTTACAGCTCCTTTACTCTGCAGGCTTCACCTTCTCCAGGCAAGCCCAGGAGCTGGTGTTCCTTACCTCCCCCAAAGGGAGAGAGCATCTAACAAAAAGGTTTAGTTGCTTTGTAACTTATTCTATAGGCATATGTCTCAGGTCAGCTAGATAAAATTTAATGGAGAACAGCCCAAGCTAGATGAAGACAACTGAATGTACAGACTGAAGGGCATGATACAAGGATCTGAACAGCTGGTTACATTTGATAGCTGTGATTCTATAGCCACAAGACTGTTTAAAAACACATACTAGAAAGAGGCTCTACACAGAATGCGTAAAGGATTATTGCCAGCTTGGGGTTTATCACTGACAGTCTGTTATTAAAAATTGCTGTTGCAATTGGTATTTTTTATAAGACAAGAAATCTATAAATTACAGTTGAGTCTCAAATTTTATTACCATGAATGTTTAGTTACAAACTACATTAAAAATGTAGCCATCACAAGACAGCTACATAATGAAATGAAAACTTTCCAAGACCAAGTTACTGACGTGAGTTCATTTTTCACAATAAAAATTAGAGGTACTCTGCATGTACTGTGCACTGCTATCAAATATTACTGTGCACTGTACCCCTTCTCCCTCTTGCTCCTTGTTATTCTGTGTTCACATAGTCTATACAGTGGAGTCTGGAAGCTGATTAGGGCCCTGCAGTGCATTACTGTCCTAGCAATAAATATATAATACAAGAGGTCCAGGCCTCCTCAGTTTGGTAGTTGAGTACTTGCTACTAGCTCCTGGCTGGACAGCTACCCAAGCTCCTTCGGGAGTGATGCATGAGCACACAGTAAAATGTAGGTATGTCGCCCTACACCTTGTTACACAAACACAGCAGAAGGATAGGGTTGCACTGAAGCACTGCAGGATGGCTGAATACTGCTAGCAGCACTTAGGATCTTGTTAGCCTGGTAACTCCTCTAGTACAGAGATGACCTCGTTCCCTCTTCCTCGTCCACTTCAAAGGTTTATGCCTCATCAACACCACACCTATTATTATTATTATATAGACCTTCTGGAGAGGACAAACTGTATAGAAATGACTGTGTTTGGAACTGGACACATTTTCTTTGCAGCAACCAGACATCCCTGCCAACTTTCAGAACTGTAATGTGGTACAATCAAAAAAGGTAAAGTGTGCACCAAGGAACTTGGAACACCAGCCAAAAATACCAGGGGACATTTGTCCCATTTTACTTCTGATGCGAGAAAAACATAAATGATCTTTTGCTGAACTGTGGGAAGGTGGGTTTGCAGCCTTTCACCTCAGAGCTTGCCACTAGTGAGCAACATCCACATCTGTGTAAGCCCTTAGCCCCTCTGGAACAAACTGTCAGCAGTTCTGATCTGTGCCAGTTAACTACGCAGAACTACACCAACTGATTCATTGCCACTCCTGAACTCTTCCACACTATGAGTCCAAATTACGTAAAAGGGAATGCTGGTACCTTAAGCCACTGTGTCACCTAGGCTCTAATAGAAGCAAACTTTCACACCTACCAATTTGTTTGATTTGCATTCAGAAATGTGAATTTAATTTGTAATCTTGACGTTGACCTCTCTGGCAATTACAACTAGGTTTCAACCAATATACATGGATTTGTAGATAAACACAATTAAATTGACATGATGAATCTTTAGTCTAGT